CCAGTGGCGCCCACCTGGGTATTGAGTTCTTAAATCACACCCATTGCTTCTCACGAATTTATATTTATTATCCCATTGTTTTTGGGAATTCACTGTTTCAAAGACACTTGAGGCTATTCTAATATACAATCTTTTGCAGGTATAGCTTCATGGAGGCCTAGTAACATAAAATTTTTACCAGGAAGTGTTGGTGAGTGGAACTGGAACATGATCTGCATTTTTGTATTTTTTTCAACTTTGTCTAGTTTTTTTCTAGTATAGTTTTTATTTTATTTCATGTTCCATTTGCTCTAGTTTCTTTAACAGCAGTTACAGTGATGTGTTGGTTAGACTTAAGTTCCTAAATGTGAACTTGTCATTTTCTCACACTGCATTTTTTAATTTTTGTTCTTTCCTTCTACATTGTGGGAAAACTACTTGACTATGACTTCTTAATTATGAATTCAGCTCCTGTACCATGTTAATTCTGTTTTTCAGCTTTCCTTGATTCACTCCTTATCTGAATCTCTTCCCTTTCCTTGTCAGCATAGAACATAAAGCTGTTCTCAGGCACAACTTTATTCTTGTTGTGCCTGGTTCTTAGAGTCAATATCTTTCTACAACCAATTTAGTATCCAAATTTATGCTTTTCCTCCATTTCATTTCTTAGAGTGGATTGTTGTCATTGTACCACTGCCATTCCTGCCTCTGCTAGCTGTGAGGTTGTACTTAATAGGTATATAGTTTCTGAATGGGTAGAGAAAAAGAGTTCTGGATGGGGAAGGGACAATGGTTGTTTCTGGAAGAAGGACTTACCCAGTGTGGGAATGGCTTTCCTATTTCCTGATTGCTACAAACCCAGAAATTTTGAGCTGTGGGTGGAGAGCTGTGAAGGGATCATTTCTTCACATTCTTCTTGTCAATTCTGTAGACCATGGACATATTTCTGTCTTTCTCTATTTATATGATACTTACTGGAAATTTCTCCCAGGCTTTTACAAATGATAACTGTTCAAAGCAGGTACTTCCTTCTATTTGTGTCAGATGGAATCTGTGAAGCCATAGTCCTCTTAAACTAGATGGCATTTATCTTATCTTACACTTTATTAATCTTTAAAAAATGTTAATTCTTTCTATTTGCACAGAAACCCTTTCTCCAAAGACGTGGTCTTTATGGGCTCACTATTAGATACTTTTAGTAGTAAGGGTGTTGCTCAGGCCTTTATAGTAACAATATCAGGTCTGCTTGCCTAAGGTAGTGTAGGGAGCAACCCATGCCAGAAAGCTTGCCTCATGATTGACCTGAGCTAAAAATGAAAGTCTACTTAAAGCTTTTCCTCTAGAAGCATGCAAGTTAAAGTTTAGCCTTCTTTTATTCCTTTATTTTTGCCTTTTTTGGCATTCATACTTTTTTTTTGGCAGTACTGGGCTTTGAACTCAGGCCTTGTATTTGCTCAGCAAGTGCTCTACCATTTGATGCACACCTCTAGTCCTCATACTTTTCTTTCAAATCTTTATTATTGTTTTATTTGTTCCTTATTATTCTTTGACTTTTATTTTAGTTTTAACTGCCTTAATATTTTCATCTCTATTTTGTTAACCATAAACCCTTGTCCTCCACCTCCATGGTTTAATTTTAAAGGATAGAAGGATGTGTAATCCTCAGAGTGGTAGTAGCAGTGAACAGTGTTCATTCACATAGGGAAGATCCTCTTCTTTTTCTTAGCAACAACCACATCCTTGCCCACCATTTCCAGATCCATTTCCCATGGCACCCCTCCTGCTCCTCATATTCTGCAGACCTTGTTTTGCTTGCTCTGCCTTTGTCATTTCTGTTCATTGAAGCTTTTCTCCTACTTCTTCACCTTTCTCTCCTCTGCTCTGCTCTGTGAAAGCTTTGCTGATTGATAGCCTCCTACAGTCAGCTATTTCCTGGGTGTTATTTTTCTCTCTTACTCCTCATCTGGTTGCACAAACTAGATTGTTGCTAGCCCATATGATCTTTTGTGTGAATTAGAAAAAGGTGCCCACTTCATAGTACTTCCAACTGTTAGCAAACTCTTTTAGTAAAGATGTAAATCTACAATGTTGTGAGTGGTACCTGCTAGGTTGTGAGTATACAACTGTACTGTTGTATTTGATGACACTATCTTTGATGTAGTTACTTAATTATCTGTATTCTACTCAGGACGAGGGGGAATATTTGTATCGTGATCATATTTTTATATTCTAACTGCCTGACTAGGCCCTCATTAATCATTTTCTAAACAAAAGAAGGAATGAAGATACCATAGTGTTGTCTGGAAAAATAGCAGGAAAGGCATGACTGTTGAGGCCTTTTATACTGAATTTTCAGTAAGACTACATTTTGGGGGCTTTGCGGGGAATGTGTGGGATGGGGTTGGAGGGGAGGTTCAATGGTAGAGGATTTGCCTAGTATGTGGAAGGCCCTGGGTTCAGGCCCCATCAAAAAAAAAAAAGAATATGTTTTTATTCGTAGATACTTTTTTTTCCCCAAACTTGAATATTTCTGTAATCAGACATCTTAAAGTAATGTACTTAGGTGCTTGATAGCACACATCCTAGAGCCAGACTACCTGAGTTTGAATCCCAGTCCTACCACTTATACACTTATTGTTTGAGTTTGGGCATGTTATTTAACCTTTTTGTGCTTCAGTTTACTCATATGTAAAATGAGGGTGATAATGGTTCCAACTTCATGAAATTATTGAGAGTTATGTTAATTATTTTATGTAAAGTGCTTAGAATAGTAAGATATATGCTACTATTACTATCAGTATTAAAGTCCTTATGTAGGTTTACCATATTATACCAGTATACCATTATTTCTTTTTAATTCTGAAAAGCAGTGTGTGTGTGTGTTGTTGTTGTTGTTGTTGTTATTGCGGATTAAATCAGAGACCTCACACATGCTAAGCAAGTGCTCTACCACTGTACTATAGCCCTGAAAAGCTGGTTTTACTTTGTGAGCTGATATTGCTAGCATCCAGCTGTGTGTTACTTGGCCTGACATTTGTGCTGTGGTTAAAGCACCTGCTACCTCATTCCCTTCTCCACCCACACCAATCTTCTGGTTACTGCCACAAAAGGAAACCAGTTAGCTTTGGGTTTTCTTCCTTATTTGGCAGAAGCAAAAGAGGGAAAAACCCGGGGCCCTTTAGATAAGGTTTGTTTTAGAGTTTAAATTTAACTTTTTGTTTTAAAATTTGGACTGCTAATAACTCTTTACTGAACTGAACTACAACCTAGAAAGAATTGGGTTTGAAAACACTATTTTAATGTAAAATCTTTTCTAATTCCCTTGATAATTTTCAAGAGATTCGTGCTATGAAGTGGCAGAAGGTAGTGTGGGACCAAACTCCCCATTTAAATCTGTCACAGCATATCATCAGGTTAGGCAGTAGATGAAAGTCACTCCCTGAGGAATTGTGGACCTCTTCTGTACTTTAGGGTTCCTTGTAGCTGTAATTTCACATGAAGGATGTGTGGATGTTTTCTGTCTTGTTTCAGGCACACTTTTCCCTGGTGTCTTAGCTGTGACACTGTGGGAAGGTCTGTGAGCCTTAATTTGGCTGCCCTGCCCTCCTGAGCTCTTCAGATTAAGCAAGATCTGACTAATGCATTCTTTGTAGATGCTCTGACCATTTTCATTATGAGAACTGACTGGTCTTTCCCAGGTCACATTACCATAATTGACTTTATGCTCAACTTTGGTAAATATTCTTACATGCTATATAGCACCTACCGAAATTCATAGAGTACTGTATATTTGAAGTTTCAGCAGCCTTTCCTTAGTTGAACAAAACAGTATGTAAGTAAATAATACCTCTAATTTGTTCAATGGTGAGTTTAATTATCAGTTCTCAGGTTATCAACATGAGGAACTTTCCCTAATAGGGCTTCTATGGACTGATTTATCTTTAGGGCTTCAGAAATGATAAGTAGACAGTTATTTTTACTCTGCATTCTGGAAGGCCAAGAAAGTGGTGAGAATATGTATATTCTGCCCCCTAGATCCACCCAATGAAGGAACTAGCATTATATCTAGTTCTGTGCTGCAATGCCTCTGACCCTTTTAGTCACATCAAAGTCTTTGTTTTCTAAAGAAGCACAATTAATTCCAAGATTCAGTCTTCACATGAGGACACACGTGCTTTTGGGTTCATCTTTTCCTTTATCCAAAATCTTACTTCTTTTAGGAGAAATGTCAGCAAAAACAAGGAATAATTTACCTAAATCACTTCAGGGTGAGGATATCCTGGTGGCCAAAGTAAACTAAAGGCCTACAGAAAGAATTTGTTTCACAAGCATATTTTGTTAGGTCTTTATTGTTGGTATTTGTTGTCAACATTTAGCATTCAGGCAATTTCACTTAAAAGATCTGACTTCTGCCACCTCTTAAAAAAATAGAAAGATTCACATAGCCACAGTTAGCTGAAGGCAGGTTTGAAGAGATCCTCTTGGCTGTGGCATGTGGGCCTCATTTTGCAGTGTCTGCTAACATTAATATGACCTGTCTAGTTCTGTGGGCATTTGACCTATGACTTCTGTCCTGTTTTACCTCTGAAGCCAATATCTTACTCTTGTTTTATGATCAGATATCTTATAACTTTCCAAAAAGGCCCAGGCTGGTGTGAGCAGTGGTTAAATGTCTACCAGTGGTTAAATTGGCTCCATCAGGGCCCATATGTTGCTTCCAGCTGCACCCAGGCCTTCAGGGGCAGGAGTTAACAGCAGGGTGGAGCTAGGGTGCTGTGTTTGCTAAGGTGGCACCACTCCATCTGTTCACTCAGCCTGAAAGTCATAACCAAAGTTTCCTCATCAAGGGGGTGGGGCATTTTTCAAAATATGAAAGAAAGAAAGAAACCAGTGACAGTTCTAGCCTATTCGTTGGCTCAGCTATTGCCACAAAAAGCATAAGCTTCCTGTTTACCATTTTGCCTGACACAAGTGAGTGTGTTTCCTGGCTATGCTGGGCTTGGCACATAGGTCAGGTTCTGTCTGTCAGGATGGTGGGGCTGAATGCTTGCTCTGTGCTTGGCCAGCTGTGAGGAGGGGTGGGCAGTAGGGCCCCCATGGCTTGGGTCCTGGATGTGGGCCACCCTCAAGAGGGCTCCAGAACTATGGCATTCTGTAAGACAGCAAAAGAGGAAGAGTGGCCCAGTCTTCTTGTGGACTTCTCCTTAGCTCTCCTTTCCCTGTAAGGTCCAATCCAGGCAAAGGCCCTGGACACAAAATGGGATCTTATAATAATAAATGTCTATCTTTTGTTTTTTAAGTCTCTAGGAAACAGGATGCCTAGCTTCTGGGAAAACTGCTCCTTTACTCCAGTGTGTTGATGGAAAGGACCTGCCTCCTTTTGGTATATTATTTTATTCAAAGTAAGTATCCAGTGAACTGCCTGGGGAATGGCCTCCTAGTTTTCTTGGTCCTGCTGCTCAGACAAAGGAAATACTTGAAATGCTTTCAACAGATTAGAGAAAGGAGCCAGTCCACCATTCCATTGGTTAAAGCTTCCTCCTTATCCTATAATCCCCATTTCTCCAGGAGCCACAAGTACAAATAAAAGGGCCAGGATTCATTTGCATAAGAAGCCTTGCAAAGCAAACTAGGCTTTCACTGCAGTGTATACACTGGGAACCCATGGAGATTTCTGAGATTACATAAAGAAAGACAGAAGGAAGGGAAATACCAGATGGTTCACAGGTGGGGAAAACTGTTTCTCAAATGTCCCAAGCTGCTTGTGCTGCTATTCTATGCTGTTGACTTAGTGGATGAGGGGACCTTGAGCCAGGGACACTGGCAACAGCAGAAAGTAAAATCACTTGGACTGCAAAATCCCACAGATACAGATTCCAGTCCCACTACTTCACATTTAAATTTGTAAAGATAGGCCACAATTACTGTCAGCAGCCAAGACACTTAAGGTTAAGGTCATTTCTATGCTTCTGGTGGCAAAGCAGCAGCAGGTTTTTTTTTTCCTAAACTGATTATTTTTAGGGACTTTTATTTTTGTCCAACTTGGCTTCTCAACCTGACTGTATAGCCTTTTCTCTTCTCCCCAGGACTTGAGTGTATTACCAGCAGATAAGCAAAGGTCCTCTCTAACCATTCCAATTTTTTTTTTTTTTTTGCAGTACTGGGGCTTGAACTCAGGTTCTACATCTTGAACCACTCCACCACCCTTTTTTTGTGAAGGGTTTTTTTGAGATAGGGCCACAGGAACTATTTGCCTGGGGTGGATTCAAATCAAGATCCTCCTGATCTCTGCCTCCTGAGTAGCTAGGATTATAGGTGTGAGCCACTGGCACCCAGCATACTACCCATTCTTTACCTTTCTCCAGTGCTGGCAGAGACCCTGTGTCTGGAGGTGGTCTGAGATGAGATGAACATTCCTAGGAATTGTTCAGACTGGAACAGAACTCAACCTCCTTTCCCCTCTGCCAGAGGGACAGGGGCAGGACATGACTGAAATGGGTACATTTTCAGGTCAGAGTTGAGTCTTCTTGTCTGACAACCTTTCCCCCTATGGAAGCTGGTGCTGGCCAACAAAGCCCAGGTAAGAACTAGATTGTGCAGCCAGTTGTCCTGGCTGAATCCCAAATCTAGTTTTATTAGCCCTGCAGGAGACTCCTTTACCTTCCTGGGCCTCAGTTGCCTTGTCTGAGTGATGAAGGGTAATAGTGTAAGAGGTACCTAAAATGCTTTTGCGGAAAACCCTCAGCTCCTTACTGGGACCTACAAATCAACTAAAAGCAGACAAAAAGCTTGGCATCTCTGCCTTCATTTTGTATTTGTCTTTGCTCTAAGCCCTTCTCTTTACAGTCATTGCAGGAAAGACAGAACTGACCACATCTTCACAATTGCTTAACTATATATTATGGATGTATAATTATAACTGTACAATTAAGACAGGGGCAAAAAGTATGCACAGTTGAGCAGCCCCAGTTATAGGCGTGGGCTTATTCTTCAGGGTTTCAGGAGTTGCTATCCAGAGTCATTGTCCCCTAGCAGGTGGTCTATCCTAAGGAGGCTCAACTCTTAGGAGTAGTTTCAGTTGCTTGTCATGAAGATGTTATCAGTTCTGTCTTTCCTGCAATGACTGTAAAGAGAAGGGCTTAGAGCAAAGACAAATACAAAATGAAAGCAGAGATGCTAAGCTTTTCCCCCTTTTAGTTAATTTGTAGGTCCCAGTAAGGAGCTGGTGGTTTTCAGCAAAAGCAGTTTAAGCATCTCTTACAGCACTTTGGTCACGCCTGCTGCTCCACTCCTGGGAAGCAACAGCAAGAATGGCTTTCTGTTGGCTCTTCAGGCACAGTCCATACTCAGGAGGGAGGCTGTTTCTTGTTATTAAACCAAACATCCTATCTGGGAAGGCTACCTTTGCCCTTTTGAGAAGCTTATCATACCATATACCTTTCTGGAGTTCCCAATAGCTTTTGGGCCAAGAAGGGTTCCTGAGAATGAGAGCAGTGCTGGTTGAAATGCTGGCTCAGATCTCTAAATGTGACAAATCAGTATTTTTATGACCTATCTCTTGGCCCAAGGATTATGCTGTGGTCTGTTTCATGCCTCATCTTAGAAGCAAGAGTGTCTAGAAGTCAGCTATCAAAGATTCTAGCCACTGTCAGGTGCCAGTAATCCTAGGTACTCAAGAGGCAGAGATTGGGAGGAACACAGTTCAAAGCCAGCCTGAGCACATACTTTGTGAGACTGTATCTTGCAAAACCCTATCACAAATAATTGGGCTGGTGGAGTGGCTCAAGGTGAAGGCCCTGAGTTCAAGTTCCAGTATAGTTAAAAAAAAAATTCTACCACCACTTTGCCTTAGGCCATTACTTTGAGCAAGTCATAAAATCACAGGACTTTAGAACTAGAGGAGAATTAAAGAAGCGCTGCTTGAACACTTAGTTGAAGCGAAATGAGGCAGTGAGTGAGGTGAGGGAAAGAGAAGTTGCATTTTGAGTATGTAAAATGGACATTTTAGAGTAGGTAGTCCCTAATTATTCTTCCATCTCCAAATTTCACATCTGTTTCTGTAACCACCCTGTACATTGACTTTATTAATTAACGTTCTACAGAGATTGTATTTGACTAAGTGAGCAAACTATGCCTTTAACATAAATAGACACATTTGTGTCTTTCCACAATGACAGAATTTATTGAATAGTGATAAATTTGCAAACCAAGTGTGGTAGTGCACATCTGTAATCCCAGCTCTTGAGAGGCTGAAGCAGGAGGATTGTGAGTTCCAAGCCAGCCTGGGTTACACAGTGAGTGTGAGGCTAGCCTGGACTATGTAGTGAGATTGGCCTCAAAAAACCAAAATAATAATAATAACAACAATAACAATAATAATAATAATAAAATAAATTCATGAGCAACATCAATTTTGTTGGTTTTAATTCACCAAGTACTATTGATTTTACTTGGAAATCATGACAATTGACCAAGACAATTGACTAATGGAATAAAAGAATTCCATTCCAATCTTAACTGCTAATATTAATAGCTTTAAGATCATACATTATACTTCACACAATAATGTAGCTCTGTATCTACCTATCTATCTATCTATCTTACAGAATGCTAAGAAAGGGTGAAGCAGCCACAGTCAGAGAGCTAAAGACTAAGGCAGAGAGCTAATGCAGATGTAAAGAGATTCACTGCAAGTGTTTAGGTATGAACTTTATGAGCCCAATTACAGAGTTGTTCAGGTGCTGAGCTGCCAAGGCACAGAGCTGGCTCAAGGAAAGGGTCTGAGGGTGTGGATGAATGCAGCTCTGTGCTACTGAGTGGGCTGCATCAAGCAGAAGCATCATGCTGAATTGAAGCTCCAGGGACAATGGGGAATTCATCACCTATGGATCCTGTGACTCAGACACAGGGTGGGTGCTGTTTCCAGTGTTAAGTGCCCTTTCTTTTGTATGACCTAGACAGGGTCTAGTGTATTTAATAAGTTCACAGACCTGGTTTCTCTGATATGATATTCATATACCCTTGTGTTTTTTATTTAATTAGCTATGTGATAAGTTCATAGGTGGTAATTTTTTATTTGTATAAATAGGTTGTTTATCACTCCATGCCTCATGGTTTGTGCTGGATCATGTGTGTGTGTGGAGGTGTTCTTTTCAATAGGTCTGAGTCTAACCTCTGGTGATTATCGACACACTCAAAATTCAGCAAATTGCTGCTTTTAAAATAGGTCACTCAGATTAAGGCATAATCTGAACGCTACTGTTTTCTACAATATGAAGTAACTCAGAGCAGGGCATAACCTCCTCTCCTCATCAAGTTCAATAAATATGCACTGAGGATATAGCTCAGTGATACAGCATTTGCCTAACGTGCTCATGGTCCTGGGTTTGATCTCAGCACTATAAAAAAGAAAAGAGAAAAGAATAACAATACTAACATCTGCTTTTCCTATTTTCCTATTTTCTAGGGCTTCACATTACCAGATGGCATTGGAGCAGTTGCAGAGTCACCCTAAGGCACTTAAGCTCTGGGCACTCCCTTTAAAATCTTCAACTCACCATCAAGAACAGCACTGTGGACGTTGGTGAGGCCCAGGCACCATGATTTCCCTACCACCTGCAGGCTAGGTGCCCATTGAAGAAGAGGAGGGGGCTGTCAGCATCTGCAAAGAGGGTTTAGAGGAAGCTGGAGTTCAGGAATGGGAACTGGGAATTTCCCAGTACTGGGAAAGCCAAGGCAAGTTCCAGGGTAACCTGGGCAACCTAGTTAAGGTCCTGCCTCAAAAAACCAAAATTGGGGGATGTAGCTCAGTGGTAAGCACTTGCCTAGTGTGTGCAAGGCCCTGGGTTTGATCTCTAGCACCACAAAAAATTTTAAAAGGATCTGGGATGGGAAAATCCACGAAGTAAAACTGCCACTAAGTTTAGCAACTTTTAAAAAAAGTGTTTTTTAATTACGGATTTTTTTTGAGGTAAGATCTCACCGTGTGGCCAAACCTAGCTCTGAACACTTTATCCATATTTGTTTCAGCCTCCTGTGTGGTAGGATTACAAGAGGCATGCACCACCATGCCTAACTTTTATTATGGTTATTCAATATTGCATAAAAATATTTTTGTACTATTATATATGCATTTTCATACCTTTTTCTTCTTTTCTGGGGAATTGATGTGGCAGAGAATACAGTGGGTATACTAATGTCACAGTCTTGGACTGAAAGTTGAGTGGTTGTTTTCTACCACTTTGGTTTTTAATTTGAAGTACATTTCTATCCAGTCCACACTTATTCAGATATGCCATCTCTTTAGCTTTTTACTTGAAAGGTATGTTTTATAATGCTTCCATAATGTCAATCTACTTTTTGAGTTAAATCTTTTCTTTTCTTATAGTTCAACTTGATAAAACCAATTTAAATATAAATACATTTGTTCCTTTGTTTAACTAACATGTTTTTTATACATGCTTTTGTTGGAGGAATGATTCTAAGCTTTGTAGGGAATACACAGATGTACAAGGCTTTTGGACAATTTTCATTTTCAAATTCTAGAATAAAACAGGCAAAGCAAGTCAGGCATGGCAGTACATGCCTGTAATCCCAATCCCTCTGAAAACTGAAATAGGAGGATTGCAAATTCAAGGCCAGCCTTGGCAATTTAGCAAGATCCTGTTTCAAAAATAAAAACAACAAAAGCCCCACAAACAAAAAGGGCTGGGGATATAACTCAGTGTTAGAGTGCTTGCATCGCATGTAGGAAGCCCTGGGTTCAATCCCCATTTCTAAAAAAAAAAAAAAAGAAAGAAAGAAAGAAACAGCAGCAAATGCTGTGGCTAAGGCCCAATAAGGAGCAGTTAGTCACTTGGGAATCTGTAAAGAAAATGAAAGGATAAAACAAATGCCAAGTAAGAAACAGCATGCACGTGATGGCAGGTCACTTGCTGACTCCTGACTGTGTCCGTGCTGTGGACGTGCAGGGTGGCAAGAGTGGTGGTTATGGACAGGTGAAATGGGCAGGGCAGCATCGTGTAAGTTATGTGCTCTTAACTTGGTAGAAGCAGGAAAGCAGAAGCCTCTGAAGTATTTTGAGGAAAACAGTGAGATGATCTTGTTACATGCTGATTTGAAGTGTTGTGGACCAGTGTCAAGGGTCCTTGCCTTCACAGGCCAGAAAACTGGCTCATGAGGCAGCTGATTGATTTGTAAGCCAAAGTCAGGATATAGAGTAGGATTTATTAGAGAGAAAAGAAAGATTGCAGCTAGAGCAGGGCAGCGGAGCCCAGAAACTGGTGGCTTGCTGCTCAGGTGAAGGCTGGGGCTTTTATGGACGTTTTAACTCTTGGTTAGAAGGGCTCTTTTCATTGGCCATGGATTCGTAGGCTTTCTTAGATGAACTGGTTTGTTTCCCCCTTATTGGGGGGGGAACAATCTTGAGAGGATTTTGCTCATCAGCCCTGTGGCAGATCTATCAGACCCTGTATCTCCTCTTAGGATGCAGGAAGGTAGATTTACAACTCCTCAGGATGCTCTCCATGGGGGATGGGACACTCACTCATCTGCCTTAGGTCTCCAGACCCAACAGTCTGACCTATTTTATTTTTTATTGGTGTTACTACTTTTTTTTTCTGAGACAGGTCTCATTATGTAGCTCAATCTGGCTTTGAACTTGTGCTCTTCCTGCTTCAGCCTCCCAGATGGTGTGATCACACTGTGTACTACCACGCTTGACTCTCAGCATGTTTTGCTATTCATCCACATTCTTCATGTGTTGGCAGTTTATTCCTTTTTAACAGTGGATTTGTGAATGATCATCGTTAGGACCCTGAACATTGAGTTTGGCATACAAGATTGCCTCACAAATGAAAGGACTGCCATAGATCTCACTAAACCTTCTAAAAAGGGGTAGAGCATTTGAAAACTCATGTGGCTCTGCCAGGGTACAGGCTGTTAGAACACAACTGGATTCTGTGGATAACCACTGAATATTATAAGCTTGGCTCTAGAAAGCACTGTTTTGTCATTTTTGAGATGATAATGTATCCAGTTACATTTCTTCTTTTTTGTCATGTTACATTCCCTACTGAAGACTCCTGTCTGTGGATCCAAAGCAGAGACCATCTCTATCCCAGATCAACCAGAGATGCCCCCTTTCAGAGGTATTCTGGGAAAGTAGTGGGGGTGGGGGCAGGAGGAGAGCCTCCTGATGAAAACAGGTCTGATTCCCATTTTCTTTTGTTGTTAAATGATTGCAGTAATAAGAATTAATTTTCAAAACTTGAAGCTGAAACTTTGTGGCTGGGCAGCAAGCCAGTGCTGTGCCTTTTAGCTCAATTGATGGTATGTTCCAGCTTCAAACATACTCTGTGCTGCCTCAGTTACTACAAGTGAATAAAGGCATGGATTCCTGTTTCAGAATTATTCCTCACATTCCCTGCATAAGATCTCCACCCTTTAAATTGGCTTTTCTTGTCTGGTTGCCAATAGCTACATCCATTCACCTCCCCCACAGGAAGCCTTTCTCAGAGTTGTTTGCCATTTAGTCAGGATGTGTTTTAATACCCCAGGACAAAAGGAGCAGGCAGCCATGAGACAGCCCCCTCCTAGCGCACCCTAGGCTCACTGACCTCTTAGTCTGGTATTAGTGGAGGAGCTGGCTGGATTCCAGGCACGGACTTAGAGGTTGATGTGAATTACAAAATGGGAAATAAGCAGCTTCCTCTCTTTCTTGATATCCTTTCCATTCACCTATCAGCCAGTCATCTTAAAGCCTGCCTTGATGAAATACTGAGAGCCAAGAACAGAATGTTAAAATATTCTATCAACACAGTATTGATTTAAAATGTAAAATTGAAGCACTATTCCTAACTTTTTTTTTTTGGACCATGTCTTTTGCTTCAGTGTTTCATTGTTTAGAGAGACTGTACTTTTGGTTTTTATCAGGTGGCACCTTCAGGAGGTTACCTTGGAGCTCAAGAATGGGCAGCCGATTCCCGTGGTCCATCTCAGTGGGGAGAATGGTGATAAAGTGAAAAAGGAGTAAAAGTGATTGGAAAGACTTGGCACTCTTCAAGTCTGGCCTTGTCATGACTCCACTCATGGGGGTGACAGCCCATCTGTGTGGCAGACATGCCTTCCAGCCAGTTCTCTAGCCACCAGTGGGAGGACTGTGCTGCCATAGGGTAATTTTGGTATAATTATAACTTGACCACAATGAATGCTATTGTGGTTTTTTAACTGAATCAGAAAAACTTTTATTATGAGTTTAGAAGGTAATTTATTTAAAAATACTCCACAAAGCAGCAAAGCACAAAAGGAATTCTGTTGGTTCTCATCTTTCTTTTTTTCCTGTCCTTGCTCTCTCCCCATAATTTTCAAATCTATTAATGAGAGACTGAGGGGTAAGCGGTATTTACATTGTTAACATTAGAATGCAGAGAAAGACCAGTCACCTTTATTTTGGTCTGTTTACCCTGAATATATGTTAAGTAGTTTGTGAGCATTTTCAATCATTCTGGAATATTTTGTTGCTTTGTTGTTATCTACGCCCCACCTCCCCCTCGCCCCGCGTCATTTCTAGGTCAGTCACCAACTGTCTGCCTGAATAAAAGAGTGGCAAAATAACTGCTTTTATTCTCAATATTCTAAAAGCTTAATAAATTTACATGTGTACATATCGTGTTTAAACTGTGGGACAGTTTAAAGCTGACGTGTTCTTATCCTTCTTCTTTCCAAGTAACTTAACCACAAATTAGTGAACCCTGCCCTTTGCTTTAATTTGTCTTGATACACAGATGACATGCAGGAATTTTCGGGTGTTCAGGGTTCTTGGGTCCACTCTGAGAATGAAAGCAGAGCACACTCCAGCAGCAGAGGTCAGAAAGATTTTATTTGTAGAGAAGAGAAGAGAAAGGCTGCATTGGGGCATGCAGCAGGACCTAGAATCTGGTGGTCCCGGGGGTCAGGTTGGAAATTGGGTTTTATAGCCTCTTTTCTATTGCCCAAGGGTGGAGATGTCTCTCAGTTGCAAACAGACAATTTCCTGGGAAGGAGAAGTGTCTCCTTGGCCAGTTATTACCTTTTGGGACCTCCTGCAGTCTGTCCTTCAAGTTCCCCCTCTCAGTGATTGCCCTAACTGCTGTTAGGGATAGAGATGAATAAGTCTATTCAGTGACTGCTTCCTGCTGACAGGGGGCAATGAAGGGGCCGCAGCATCAGGGCTGACCATGAGAGGGGTCATCGAGGGAACTGCGATAGTAGGTCTTTTTCATCTCCAGCAGGAGCATCTGTAGTTTGGTGGATTCTAGGCGAGAGGAAACAAACTTGACAAGTGAGTTTAAAATGCAAGGCCCAAACATGAGTAAGAGAATAATGGCAACTATAGGCCCCAGAAAGGGTAGGAACCAAGTCCTGGGAGGGGAGTCAGGATTTTATTTGGTCCCACACCTGAGTAGAAACATGTTTCAAAGGACTGTTCCTGGAGCCACTTAGCCTGTTTCTCTACAATGCCTGAAGTGTTTATATATGTGCAACAGGAAGTATTGACCATGGCACATACCCCTCCTTGTTTAGCCAAAAGAAAATCTAGGGCCAGGTGGTAGTCCATGACCATACAGGCCAGGGACGACAATGACCTTTGCATGTCCTTAATGGCAAGGCCTACCTGGTCTGAGGTGCCCTCTACTACTTTGGTTAGGTTTTTTTGTAGTTACATGATTGGCAATCAGCCCATAGCTAATTCCAGCTAGGGCTGTAACCAACGCTGTTATCCCTAAAACTATTAGAATAACCTCCCTTTTGAGTTTAAAATTTCCCCTATATCATGTGGGGGTGTAAACTGTCAGGGGCTGGTTTAGGACAGGTTTTTGAGCTTCAGGCACTAGAAGGCTAACTGTAGCTACTGCTATCCTGGCCATCCCTTGGCTACCTGATCTCATTCTTACTTAAGTAGCCCACTGGCTGGGGAGTGATGCCCCAGAGCTGAGTCACCACTCCCAGAGCCAATCCTCCCTTTTCATAGACATATAATTGAAACTTGTCCTGTACTGGGAAACCCAGGGCTGGAGCTGTCATAAGGAACTTTTTAAACTGGTGGAATACATTTTTTGACTTGTATCCCATTTAATAAAGGGCTGGGGATCCTTTAGTACTTCCTTAAGGATTTGATTTAAGGGCCTGGGTAGGTCTGCATATCCCAGTATCCAAATTCTACAGTATCCTGTTATCCCCAGAAAGGCCCTCAATTGTTTTAGAGTCTTAGGTAGAGGAAACATCAGGAATGGATGGATTCTATCTTCTCTTACAGCCCTCATTTTTTTCTCCAGGACAAAGACCTAAATATGTAACCCTAGACTAAAACAATTGGGCTTTTTCTTTAGAGATTTTATAACCTCTGTTAGGAAGTTTAGTAAGGATTCAGTGGCTTGCGAAATGACAGGCCCAGTAGGTACACAGAGGAGGAGATCATCTCCATATTGTAGCAGAGTAGCTTGTGGATATTGCCACTCTGCCAAGTCTTGGGTTAGAGCCAACCCAAAGAGATGGGGGCTGTCTCTGAATCCCTCAGGGAGGACAGTCCAGGTGACCTGTCCAGCCTTTCGTGTGGTGTCCTAAAAGGCAAATATAGGCTGACTTTTAGGATGTAAGGGAATGCAAAATAAGGCGTTTTTTAAGTCCAGGACAGAGTAGTAATCAGTACCTGGAGGTATTTGGGCTAAAAGCGTATAAGCATTTGGAACTAGAGGGTGGAGAGGCACTACTGTTTTATTGATCAGGCAGAGATCCTGGACTAGCCTCCATTTGTTAGGTCCCTCCTGACAAATACTCCTGAGAATAGGAGTATTATATGGGCTGGAGCATTCTATTAGCAGTCCCTGTCTTTTAAAGTCTTTTCTTATGGGAATTAGTCCTTCCTTAACTTCTGGTCTTAAAGGATATTGTTTTTCATGGGGAAACCAAGAAAGGTCCTTGAGATAAATTAGGACTGGGACCGCTGTTTGTGCTGTCCCATGATATACCCATCTGTCCACACTATGGGATCTACTTGTTCCTCTATCAGGGGCAAGTAAAAGTACTCTCTTGGGGTAAAAGGAGCTGTACTCCCAATTTAGATAGAAGGTCTCGCCCTAGCAGAGCAGTAGGGGTTTCTGGGACAATTAAAAAGGAGTGACAGAAGTGGAAATCTCCTCAGGAGCAGGCTAATGGCTGAGTGAAATAATGCTCTAGGAACTGGCCTGATATGCCCAGTTCTTGGAGGACCTGGGTCCAGGAGAGAAAGGAATAGCTGAAATGCTGGCTCCAGTATCGAATAGGAGGCTGATCTTGTGTTTTTTAATCGTAAGTATTGCCTGGGGCTCCTTTGCTTTTTGTGGTGGTCACAGGAGCCTGGATGGAAGGCCCTGGGGCCAGTCATTGGGTGGGAAGCTCTGACCTTGGTTCCCCTGGTAACCAAGGACAGTGTGCCTTCCAATGATTTCCTCAGCAAATGGGACAGGGTCCCAGAGGTGGCTTCCTCCAAGGGTACTCCCTCCTAAAATGGCCTGCCTGTCCACATTGAAAACATGTCCTCTGGTTTGAACTCTGCTCCAGGAGTACCTCTCTGAGTGCTGCGATCAGAGCCTTCTGCCATTTATCCTTTTTCTTTTCCCTCTCCAGGATCTTTTTTTTCTTTTTTTAAGTCCCTATTATAGTATATGGATGTGGCTACATGGACCAATTGGTCTAGATATCTGCTCCTTCAGCTATCAGTTTCTGAAGCTTTCTATGGATATCAGGGGCTAACTGTTAGAAAAATATCTTTTAGGATGATCTCATCCTCCTGTGACTCTGGTTTGATGTTGGTATGCTTTTGTAAAGCATCCTTAAGTCTCTGTAGGAAAGCTATTGGAGTTTCTAAGTGTCCTTGCCATGACTTGGGAGTAATTAAAGGGTTTTATCTTGGCTCTCCTTAGACCCTCAAGAATGTAGTGGATGAAGTAGTTACAGGTCCATTCATCCTTGTCATTTTTAGGGTCGTATGTAGGCACTGCCTGATCTTCTGTGGGAACTGGGAATTGGGATTCCCTTTTAGGTATCCGGTGTCTCTTTCTTCTCCCTCTACCCCCTCCTCCTATCCCATCCCATCCTATCCTATCCTGTCCTATCTCAGTCTGAGGTAGGCCTGTAGGGTCACATTTATCTAAGTGATAATCATCCCCAGTTGTAGCTGCCTGATCTAGTACTCACTGTTCTCCAGGGAAGTGAGGGTCTGGGATAATAACAAAATTACATCCATCCAGCTCAGTTCAAAGTTTTGGCTGACTTCTCTGAATGCCTGGATGTACTGATCTGGCTTTCCTGTGTAATTTCTTAAATCTTTTTTTATTTCTTTAAGTTCACTTAATCTAAAAGGAACATGAGCCCTACCCCCTTCCAGGAATTAACTGGAGGGGGTAAAGTCCTGTGGGACAATGTCAGGTGTGTGAGCTAGTTGGGGAAGGGGATAGAGGGGGAGCTGATGGGGCATCAACCAATCTCCTCAGGGTGTGATATATCCCCTGTAGCTCCCCTGGAGATTTGATTTCTGTCATGGGATAGGCCCCCTTGACATTGTTGGGGGCCCTTGGGCATTAGATGGTTTTTTTGGTTTTGGTTTCTCAAGGGAGTTTGGGGGAGCTTTTTGTAAAGGGTCACCATGGTCTGGGTATCTAATCTGCATTTGCTCAGCCATTTTGGGTGGTCTCTTAGGAAAAAGAAAAGTTGAATATATGGGACTTCAGTCCACTTTCCCTCCTTTTTACAGAACCCTAATTGAAGAATGGTATTATAATTAATGTTCCCTCCTTCTGGCCATTTTTTCTCATCTTCCAGAGGATATTGTGGTCAGGCCTAGATGCAATAAAACTTGAGTTGCTTTCATTGAAATTAGTATTTTAGTAAGCAGATAAGGGGGGGATGCTCCCGGGATCCTGGAAGCTTGATTCCCCATCTCAAAAGGGAAGCAAGGGAAAACTGATCAACCTAACAGAGGTTTTATCCTTTTACCTAGGCATTCCCAGGTGAGGAGATCCTCTCTGTGGGAGGGGGATCCTTCTCTCCTATGCTCTCCTGCCACTGCTACCTGTGGCTAAGGTCACAGGGAGGACATTTAGGTATGTCTGGCTGCAGCCACCCTGATGGAGTGACCCTGATCAATTTTTTTTTGCCTGTTTGTCTGCGACCCAGGTACCTGGTCTACTGTACCAGCTGCTGAAGGCTTGTAATTTAAAAATAACTCTATCAAAGAAACCAAGAGGGCTTGCATGGCCAGAGGGAGTACCCCTGTGGAGACATGGATGGGGATTCCTGATGAGGTAGACTTTTGTTCCCCCATATATGAGACAAACATATTTTCTATAAGAAGAGAGGGAGTGTCTGAACGCATTTTTTTTTTCCTGCTGTGGTTAAGGGAAAAAAAGAGACCCTTAAGGTCTCTATCCCCTTAACTCTTTTCTTCCCTGAAGGCAGACTATGGAACCTGCTTAACCATATCAATCAGAGGCCTAGCAAAAACAGTTAAGCCCAAGTTAGAGAGTAGCCCTTTCTGGTGTCTGTCACGGGGAAT